TCCCCCCAGCTATGGATAAATAGCAGTACAGACCGGGCTCTATGGCCTTGGATCGCAGCTGGTGTACCACAGAAAGAAATGGCAACCTACTGCGGGAAAAAATCTGCCTCCTCAGTCATGTATCAAAAGATACATGGTAGCCTAAGCATGTATCACACATGGCACATAACTGACTGACTGAAAGGCATTTAAACTGTCCATTAATTTTTTCCTTATTAAAATTTAAAGTGTACCCCAGAGATTTAGTTATTCTCAAAGTGTGCCCGGAAATAAAAAGGTTGAGAAACACTGGTCTAGCAGAATCACAGGACTGGGTGTTAAGGCCTCGTGTTAACTCTTAACACCCTGTTGAATGTATGTTATAGAAAAGAAATGAACAAATAGAGAGAGGGATTAGAGTCTTCCCCCTTACATTAGAGGAGTCATCACTTCTTTTAAAACAAATGCAAATAAGGTTTGTTTAATTTGTGCTATATTGTGTGCTTCAGGACCAACTGCCCAAAGCTGTGCTGTACTACGTGTTAAGAGTTAATGTGAGAATGAGTTCTGTTTTCATCTGGAAATTTTTGAAATCGTGAAGCATTATTAATTTTGTTAATTGGCTGATGATCATAATGGGTTATAGCATTTTTTTTTTTTTTTAATTAGTATCACTCCAAGCAAGGCAGTACAGCCACTAGCCCACAATGGGTTGCAGGGTGTGGAGAAATTAGGAACAGAAACATTAATAATGAGGAGGAAGAGAAAATAGCAATCAAGAGGACAGTAAATAGCAATTGATAATTTGATTTATAATTTTGCAAATTAATCTTTACTATGCTAATTTCTTTCTAGAATTGTTCCCCCTGCCACCGCATTTTTTTTTTTTTTTTTTTTTTTTTTTTTTTGCAAAAAACATGACCATCTACCATTTTAAAACTGTTATAACTTTCTTTGTATATTTTATATAGATTTTAATTTTTATACACTAACAAAAGAATGAATGAGTAATATTTTGATACACTATTTACATTATTCGGACTATTGTCCTCATCTTTGTCGTCATATTTTAAATATGGTGACAAAGATGAGGACGATAGTCCAAATAATGTACAGAAATATAGACAGATACTAATATAATGCATTGTTTTGCATGCATGTTTTGATGTTGAAAACCAAAAAAAATTGAAGCATGAAATAAAAAATAAATACATGAAAAATACATAAATAATTTAACGTAGTTATTGAGTTCTGGGGGTACAATAAGAAGCAAAATCGATAAGAAGGCTTTCATTTCGACAAAAAAATGTGACATGTTTCTTCATGTTTACATATGAAAAGGCACTAGCATTTGTTTGCTCTTTCTTTCACTTGACTCATATTTTATTTATTTGTCTCATTGATAAATAAAGTTATTATTTTGTCATTTATAAATAGACAAAATTCCCCTTCAGAAAGGCTATCAGGTATATTGATGGTCGCTAGTAGCTTCCATAAAATTAGTCGGGCATGGATGATAGTAGCCACTAGTGGTCATCACTGCTTTCCTCCACGTCACTAGTGTGGTTATCATATTCGACCACTTCACTGTTAATATCCACTTGAGTAAAGCCTTCAGAATCATCATCGGAGTTCTAAACAAAGAAAAACTCCTGAATAAAGGCCTTGTTGGATATTTACGCTGGCATTTTTGTTTGCAAAAAAATTACTGTGGGTTTAATCAATGTTACACCTCGTGTAGTCTAGAAGAATTCAAAATGGCATTGGAAAATGGAGATTTAACTTTGTTCCAAGGCAGTAGTAGGTGATTTCCAGCTTATAATACCAAAAATAACAGTTGACAAGTGTTTATTTATAGCAACCGTCTCAAGGCAGCAGAATGCGCCAAGAGTAGCAAAGGGGGGGAATTCTCTAGCAACTATTGTTGCCTACAGTGTGATAAAAGTTAAAGTTGGAGGGAATTTCACAAGCGAGAAGTGCTAGATAAGAAACTGTTAGCATAGAAGTTCCGACTTCATCTAGCCAGGTCAACTGTGAATTGAGAACTTCCCACCAGTCTAGTATTGCACTTAAATTCATACAGTTCCTTGCAGTGGCAGGTTAAAATTTTTCCTTTGCAAGCAAAATCACTCCAGTATGTTAAAGATTAAATTGTTTACTGATCACCACAGTTATGCAACATTGAACTAGATAGGTGACCACTTGGGAATACCAAATGTTTTAAGTTTGGATGTGTGGGTGGTGTAATGATAACTGCTCGGGACTGGAAGTCAAAAAATCAAGTTCCAATTCCAGTTGGGTTTATTATTTTTGCTTACACACAAATGCCCTTGAAAATGGTATGAATTCACTTCTTTCTCCTCAGCTTCACTTTAATTAGTAGGACTTGTATCCCTAAATCATTATATCCAAAAAATAATTGTCTTACAATCTAAAAATAACCTTCAAAATGTTGACAAACCACAAAAAAACAAAAACACTCAACCTGATTAACTGGTTCTACAGTAATTTACATGCTTTTAACTTTTACCTGAAAAACTGTCTTAACCCTTTGAGCTCTGACCACCGCTTTACCGGTGGTAGAGAAAAATGATGTAATGTCCAGCTACCTGTTGTAAACACTTGTAACTATTTTTTTTATATCTACCGTGAAACATTACATACCAGTTATTTATGAATCTTGACTCAGGGGCTCTGGCAGAAGAGTTAAAATTGTTCAGGAACACAGGGACTGAAAGGGTTAAGAAAAAGGGATTTTATGAATGTCAGTTGGCGGTAACATGAACTGTTCAGTCAATGAATCCTGGGCCGTTTCCTATATGGAAACAGTTAATTTCGCCATTACTATTACCATCTCCAAACCAAGTATATTCTCTCTGATTCAAATCTAAACAATCAATAGTATATGTAGCTAGAATGGTCAACGATGATATAATCATGATGCTGACTTTTCACGCCTAATTTTCAACAAAAGGTTAGGAGGAAACTCCCATCAGTGTTAGAAACAGTGATAACAGTAGTTTTGAGAAGTCTATTTCATTAAAAAAAAAAAAAAAAATTAAAATACTGTTTTAAGAAAAAGATTTTATAAATTTCAGCCATCTGTAATGCTATATTAAATGAATTTTGTTGGGTCAGAAAAGTTTGTGGAATTTTTTTAAAATGAATCCGAAAAAACAATATTTAGATAGTTGTACTTAGATTTATTCAGCAAAATATGTTCAATTTTGTCCCATTTTCACCATTTTTAAGGCAGAGTGATGTACTTGTCAATTTTGCCGTCTTTGAGGCAGCGTCATGATTCCTTCCTTAAGAATTTTGCATCTTTTTAGGTGATGAACTTGTCAAGAGATATCATTTATTGTTACTGAAGCATTTGTACAGATTAAAACTAAGCCATTTTACATTAAACAAAAGCTTAGGAAGGACCCCCCCCCCCCGCTCCTTTTCAATATTTGAAAAAGAGATAACAGCTAGTAGATTTGGCAAACTTAATTTTCTTCAAAAATGTTTTCACAGAGAAAGATTATACGAATTTCTACTGACAGTAATATTGTTTGGCCAATGAATGCCACCTGTTTCCTTATAATGAAATATTTCTGTGTTTTGAACATGTCAATTTTGCCGTCGTTGTGGAAACTTCATGATTCCATGATCCCAGAACTTGGCATCATTCTCTGTTTTGAACATTTTGATTTTACTGACTTTGAGATAAATTCATGATTACATCATCCCAGAACTTGGCATCTTTCTGGGTGAAGAACTTGTTAATTTTGCCGTTTTTGAGGCAACTTCACAATTCCATCATCAAGAACTTGGCATCTTTCTTTGTTTTGAAAATGTCAATTTTACTGTTCTTTTAGGTAACTTCACAATTCCATCATCAAGAACTTGGTATCTTTCTTTGTTTTGAACATGTCGATTTTACTGCCTTTGAGATAACTTCATGATCCTATCATCCCAGAACTTGGCATATTTCTGGGTGAAGAACTTGTCAATTGAGGGTGATTTCATTACTGTTATTAAAGTATTTGCACAAATTAAAACTTAAGCCATATTATGTCAAGCGAAAGAAGGAAAAAAATTAATATTGGAAAGAGCAAACCTATTTTCATGAAAAACTGTTCTCCGAGAAAGATTTTATAAATTTCAACTGACAGTAATCTGAAATGTTTGAATGTCTATTGTTTCCTGTATGGAAACAACTAATCTCACCATTACTGTTGAGTTCTTTCAAATTTTGTCCATTTTATTAAGATTGAATATATATATATGCCAACGTAATATAACCAGAAAGACCATGATAGAAAAATATAAATAAAAATAGAGAAAACTATCTTAAAAGCTGCCCTATCATGCAGCATTTAAGCTAGCTACTGCGGAGTGTTCTTGATTGGGCCTTCATCACAATAGGTAAGGAGGAGTAGATTCAATATTCAACAATAAACTACAGAAGAACTCAAAATTGATTTAAGTATTGCATTGATATTTAAGCTTACCTTTTAAAAGTTCAACAATAATTCTTCTGCCGCTTAATTTAAAGACAATTTGATGTATGTATTTCCTTACGTTCTGTACAAACAATAATTTTTATTTCATGGGTTGCAATTAATTTTGATTATTCCCAAATTTATTTCAAATTTATAAAAATTGTTATCGTACAAAAAAAAAAAAAATCGTTGCAAAAATCACATAAAAACAATGAAAATTTGGGAATCCAAAATTTCAGAATTGCAGATCCAGATCCAGCCTGGAATGTTTTTAATTTGCTCATGGGATCAGTCTGATTCGAAAATGGCATATGTTGGGCTATGACCTCTAGGAGCAAATTTGAAAAAGTGTGACACAATGACATTCACATTTATTATGTAGATGAAGAAGATGATCTATTGAAAATAGTTGTTTCTTTGATTGAAAAAAGTGTGACATAACTGATATATGCATTTATTATATATTAGTAGAACAATTTGAATAACTTTAATCTGAATATTCATGTCTTGATTTAATTTTTTTCTTTTTAGGTTTGTCTTCTTGAGACAGTGTGATGAAAAGCAAGGAGAAAATGGTCCTATCTACAGATAAGAAGTCCAAGACAGCAAAGAAAGACATTCCAAAGAAACCAAGTTCCTCCTCAACAACAAAGAAATTTGTGAAGAAGGAACAAAAGGAAAAAATTCACTTTAGTTTGATTGACAAATCGTCAGAAGACTTAAACGATTCTGCAGATTTTATAAGTCTACAAAATAAACGGAAGCCTATAAAAAATGGAAAATCCCCTATAGAGCTGGCTAGTGCTGCTAGCAAGGAGCCAAAAAAGCGAACATCCCAAAGAAGTCAGTCCAGCTCTTTACCACAAACTGCTCCTTTGTCTCCCACTGAGGCATTGACACGGCGACGCACGAGGTCAAGTGAGCGGAAAATTCAAGAAGCTGAACAGAATGGCGATGCAGATAATTTGAAATTTCCAAATGGTTCTCCAGTTTTGCCGTCCTTTTCTGGGGCTGCTTCGAAGGGGACCTCGGAATCGAAGCCCGCCAAGTGTAGCTCCCAGGAGTCAAAGAAACAAACCTGTCAAACTCTGAAGCTTTCCAAAGTAAAAGTCGAATCCCCGGAGAAAGATGAAACGCTAAAACAAACACCTGCCAAAAAGCTGGTCAAGTCGGAGCAGGTGAGATCTATCCCTACACCAGAGAAAGAAAGAACGGTACCAGCAACTAAGAGACGATCCTCTAGATCCAGGTCAAAGTCTTCTGAGACTTCTGACTCTTTAAATCTCTCAGAAAAATCTAGCCCAAAGGCTGACACCTCTGGGGGTAAAAAAGTGAAGAGGAAGAAATTGTATCAGGAATCTCCGAAAACTCCGACTGTTAAACTTGATCAGCCACCTAAAAAAAGGGCTCAAAAATCCTCAAAGCAGGACCGTATACCATCAAAATGTGTCCAAAGGAAAAACACCGAAAAAAAGAATGAAAACAATGTTTCATCTGAAATGGTAACAACGGCAACTGGTAAAAGTCCTCCAAACCTTCAGTCATTAACTGGTGATAAAGAAAGAATCAGCAACAATGCTGCCAATACCAGCCAGAACAATACTGTAAAATGTCCGACCTGTAAGGATCTTATACCTGAAGAAGGTCTCGGACGACACATTTTAATGTGTTTAAAGAATAAATACCAGGTTGATGCCAAAAGTAGACTTCCAGTTTTGTCTGATCGAGAACAGTTCCGTAAGGATGAAGCCCTAGCTCGTCAAATCCATGAAGACATGAACAAAGACCTGCATAGTCATAAGGACTCGAAAAGCACTGAAGATCTTACTTTTTGCCATGTTTGCCAAAAAGATTTGAGTCATATGAACAGCATGTGGAAGGCAAAGCATATCAATCACTGTTTTGATAACACTGATGAAGAGAATGCTCGTAAAAAGAAAAAATTAGCTGTTAATGCTCGCCAGCAGGTTCCTGCCTGCCCCATGTGTGGCAAGCAGTTCAAAACAGGGGCACTGCGTAGATGCCACCTGAAAAAATGTGCCCAGGACTTGGCAATCTCACCCGAGAAGGCAGTAAAACTTATAGCCGAACAGGAAAAAAATTTTAAACCATCTCTGCCAGCTCCGGCAACGTCTTCCTCGACATCAGCTCGGTCTTTGCATAACAAACAGAATAAATTACCTGATGAACAAATGCAAGTGGCCCTTGCCCTCTCGTCCTCCCTGTTTGAGGAGCAAAAAAAGCTCAACGAACAGCTGGCAGAGACCGTGAAAAATATTCACCAAGGTGTGAACCGAGACCTGAGGAAATTGAAAAAATCTCAGAAGAAGGCTTCTGCATCAATGCCCCTGCTGTTGACTATCTCAAAGGAGGACCAGTTAGCCCGGAATGCACAGAGGGTTGACTCCATAATCAGTGAACCTGCACACACAATGCATTTTCCCAAACAATTTCCACACAGCTCTCTGTCCCTGAACTACGGCGATGTGTACCAGTTGCATGAAAATACAAGCTGTTCCTCATCCTTGCACTCCTTTTGGTCAAGGGCTTCCCTAATGGACTCTTCTTTAACTCCAAATTTATTCTATATCCAGTCTTTAATGCCTCCAATTCAACTTGACAAGGTCACAGCAGGCAGTAGATTAAAACCTCTCTCTGCAATTCCTGGCCGGGGACTAGACAAGGAAGACATACCTTCTGTTACAGACAATCTGCCCGACTCTTCTGCTGTGCCGTCGACACAAACTGCTGTTCTTCTAGCAGAATTGGCCCAGTCCAACGAGGAAGACCTCGATGATGAAGAAAGTTCTGGGAGTACATTTGAACCAACTCAGGGATTTTATTTGTCTCAGAAAGCCAGTGACACCTCAGGGACACCTGAAAACAAGGCACTGGCTGTGCTCAGTGAGGATCTTTGCAGTTTGGTAAATAAACCTTATCTTAGCGATATTGAATTTATAGCGGCTGACAACTCGCGTGTATGTGCACACCAGTTGCTGCTCAGTGTTCGCTGCCCTCTGATCTTGAGCCTGGCTGTACAAAGAGAGAATCATTTGGTTATTGACATGAAGGATGTATCCCATAATGCTCTACTTGCTTTTTTAAGGTACCTTTATGCTGGACGAGTGGACTTTGAGAAAAATGTAACTGCTGACCTTCTACAACTCTCAAGAAAGTTTAACCTTCCACAGTTGGCTGCAATATGCGAAAAGACGTTGCAGGCTTTAATTGATGAAGCCTGTTATACGCCTTCTGTGGAGAGTGTAGCTGGTGATATACCTGAACCTTTGGAGATAGGTGACGATCATCTACAAGGGAACGAAGAAGATGGGAGTATGACGGTTGACAACAATTCGTTGTTGGAACCCAATAAAGAGGACATGGGATTCGGAGAATCCACTTCTGAAAAATTGTGTCCTTTGCCCGGGGTGTCACCATCGAAAAGCCCCCAAAGTACAGCTTTGCGTTCTTCACCTAATTGCAGTTACCGGGAACTGCCTGCTGCCTTAGATGAGCAAATATTCATGACAATCACGGGACCTTCTGATGCAGAATTTTCACCTGAAAAGCAGCATAATCAAAAACCGCCAATTCCTGGCTATGATTTGCTGACCGATTGTAGCACATCTGTGATAGAAAAAGCGGCTGAGTTTATAGGTAAAACATCTTCCTGTAAAAATGAGCCCACCCCCCAGGATATAACTTACAAAACCCCTACCTCTTTGAAATTGGTTGAAGAGACCGTGGCCGAAGGTCGTTGTTTGGATGCCATTTCAGAGCAAAACAAATCATCTCTAACTCGGCAGGTTTCAGCATTTCAACGAGAACTAAAGGGCAAGAAATTTCCAGCATTGATTTCCAAGGATACTGAGTCCGAGGGGATGCTAACCTCCTTTGGAGGTTTACTCTCTGGGAAACATTTTGACAGAAGATGCATTGATGATGACAACAAAAGTCCAAGTGTGTCTCATTTGATTCCAGCTCCTGGTTACACAGAACAAACTGTTTCACCAACAGACAGGGGCTGTCCAAACCGTAGTTTGTTGCTGGCACACCATCAAGAGAAAGAAGCTAATCTATGTGAAGAAAATTCAGTAAACTCAAATTCAGTTTCTAGTTCTGTGTCTGGTCATGAGTTTGATGATTCTAACGAATTATTTAGTGAACCAGAAGATATTGGAGAAAAATCAGAAAATTTGAAAGTCTCAGAGGTTAACAACGAAAAGCTTAAAGCGAAAGCAGGACTAGTTGATGAATTTGGGGAGATTTCCAATGATTCTATTTGCTTTGTCTCGGAAAACCAGCAGCACACTCTTAGCACTGGCATGTTGTCGACGGCATTACATTTAGCGGACACAGTTTGTGAAAATAGTACTGATGAGGACCTTGCTTTAGGAGGTAGTGCTGTCAAACTAACATCCCCAGCATGTCGACCACAAATTCCGTTTTCCAAGTGTACTATATTGAATGGTAATACTGTTAGTTTCCACATGGCTGATACCATTCTGGAGGTTTCCAAGGATCTTAAAAACAGTTCAAACTCCCCCTGTATGACAGCTGCATCGCCACTTTCAGCAACTTCACGTAGGGGGCAGATGAAGACAACAAATCTTGAAGGATCTGCATCCAGGTGTTGTCCCCAACCAACAAAGTCTCTGAAAGAGTACTCACCAATTTCACTTTTAGGGAGGTTCAATAGTGCCACCCAAGATTCAGGGATGGGTTTTGGTTCTGAATTTGAAGTAAGGGAATTGAATTATAAGTCGTCTACATCGCCAAAGTTTTCATTTTCTCCGCTAAGTGGCACCAGGACTGATCTAGAGGTGAGGAATTTGGGAAGCCTGCGTGAAGATTCTGCTAATGTGCACAGAAATTTCCAGCAGAGTAAACGAAAAAGCAGCTGTGCTGAATTCTCGTCATCGCCAAAAACGCCTCCGCGGAAAAGGCGAAATGTGCATGACGTTGGCAGTGAGACAACTGCATCTCATTTGAAAGGCCGCTTCACTGGAACACATTTTAGCAAAGAAACCGGATTGCAATTCTCCTCTTTTGAGGAAAAGAATAATACATCCTATGATGCAATTGACCATCTTTCAAATTTGGCTTCTGCAGGCTCCTTAGAAATGACAGCCATTACTTCAGATCTCAACAAGAATTCTCCAGGAAAACTGGTAAGCAAGAACCAAACAAAGACTGTTGAAAAATGGTTGGCGCTTGCAGAAGACAACAGCCCCTGTGACGCTGAGGTATCTTTATCAAACTCTCCTGGCAGCATCTTGGACAGAAATTTGGATATGTTTTCTCAATTATCTGAGGACAGCATCACTGAAAATAAAAGTGACAAAGATTTAAAAGCTGGTGTGCCTCTGGAAAATGATTCAGATTTAGAAATGGGACTTTATTCCAAAAATTGTACAGATTTTGGTGCCAATTTAGAGAGAAATCCAGATTGTCTTCATGGAAGTAGAAGCCCAAAGACTCTTGCAACACGCGGTAAGAAATTCACGTTCAAGAGGACTCAGTTAAAAAATATAAAATCGCCAGTGATCTGTTCATCTTCAACACTTGGTCATACGCCTGCTAAAAAAAAAAATACTGGTCGTTTGAGGAGCTTGTCGGAGGATCTAGGTCATTTGAGCGATAAAGTAGAAAGTGACTATGAATATCAACCAGACATTTGGGATGATTTTGAAGACAATGGTCATATGGAAGATTTTGTTGAGCTCTCTTCTACAACACTACAAAATCTGTCTACAGCGGAAAACATTAGTGCCAAAAATCTTGATTGCAAAGACAGTTCTTTTAATTCACACTTTCCCACAACCCCGGAAGTGGATAACGAAATTGCAAACAAGCAATCCTTCAATTCAAGTTTTATTAATGACTTCATTTCTTCTTCAAGTCCAGTGATGTCTCAGATGGAAGATTCTTTGCATCTTGTGGTGGACGCACAAAAGAATTCAAACAGTGCCAGTCACAGTACCAAAACTCCTGTGATTGCCAACAGAAAGGGAAGAAAGAAAAAACCAGCAATTCCTTCTCCTTTTACCCCTATGCCTCTGTATACGCAAATGACAACACCTGAATTGAAGGCGGAGATGAAAAAACATGGCTGTAAGCAGATGCCCCATGAGAAAATGGTTGCTCACTTAATGGACATTTATCAGAAAACTCACCAGTACGAAACCGACAGTGATCTCGATCAGAGTGCTATACATTTGGAAACACCGTCTGAAATACCACATAGCAGCTTGGGAATTGCGAGGCTTCAAACAAGACGCAACACTCAGGATTGTTTTCTTCGGGTGCACAATGAAAAAAAATCACCAGTCATGTCCAAAAAGCCTGCTGCAAAATTGTCCAAGAAAGCTAAGAGCTCTGCGCTGGGCAGTGGTGTTTCTGCTCAGAGATCGAGCTCTGAGTCAGATTCAGCAAATGTGGTAGACTTGGATAAGAGTGATGCGGTTGGGGCATACGAGGAGTCATTTATGACCAACGAAGACGACATTCCATGCAGCCAGCAACAAACGTCTGGCTCGTCTGACAACCTCCATGACAAACTCAGGGAATTTGTGCTAAAAAGCCCTGAGATCTATACGAAAATGATTCTCTATGAGCCAATAGATTTCGACCAGTTGAAAAAGAAGATAGCTGAAGCAAAAATCAAGTGTTCAATTCCCAAACTTCTTGACTTTTTGGACACCCAATGCATAACTTTTGCAATGAACAAAGAGAAGCAGCACCATGGATCTTGGAAACGTCGGGTGGCAAGAAAATAAAAAATTCTTTTAATCCCTTGTTCTTTTGGACTAGCATCTTCATTGTTGTTTATAAAAGTACTGTCCCTTTAGACATTATTTTTTTGTTGTTGTTTAAAGATATTTGGAAGTGTTTTGTTTGCTGTTTGCCTTTCGAATATCCCGACACAGATTAGGTGTGACCATTTGGTTACAGGACTTACAGCCACCTCACATTGAAACACCAATTCTCGTACAGTCACTGAAATTAAGTAATGTCGAGCCTGGCCAGTACCTGGATAGGTGTTTGTTTGGAATACAGGTACACAATTCTATATCTGAAATTCTTAGGGCCAGTTATGTTTCAGTTTTCTGTTTTTTTTTTTTTGTCGGGGGTTTCAGGAACTCAAACAATATTGCAGCAAAAGCATATGAATACTTACAGAAAGGATAAAGAAAAAGACTACAAATATTATTACAGTTTATTTATAGAATATAAATGAAATTTTATATATATATATATATATATATATAAATGAAATATATAAATTATAAATTAAGAAATTAAGAACATCAGTAATGAATAAATTTTATTTATTTCAGACAAAAGAATGCCTTGTATAACTCAAACTAGAAATATATGTTGCGCTTTTGTGCCTCTCTGTCATGCCTTAAATTCCTGCAGCCAACCTGTATATTGAAACTCGCTTTCAATGTCAAGTTCTTCTTGATATATTCTAACTTGTTTCAGATAGTGGCATACGTTCATGTCTCCGTGATCGAAAACATTCAAATAGCATACAGTCAAGATTTTCATTTTCTGCCATATGTGGTATTTTCTTGTTCATTAGTTTATAGTCATGACTTGCACTATAAAATTTAAGCAACTTTCTGTTTCTTTAAATCATACACAGTGGTTGTTCCGACACAGTATTCCTCAGTCGAACTCTGTATGGGAACGCCATGATAAAGCTTCCGCAAACGCCATACTTTTGGTGTTGTCAATAACAAGAGATGCTTCTTTTTTTTTTTCTCACTGCTACTCATAAGGGTATCCGCAGTTCTTGTTGACATTTTGACTGTATAAAGTCACAAAAATTATGAAAAGAAAAAGATCAGTGAACAGCACACTCATGTCTACCTAATATGAGCGTTTGACAACAACTGATGTTCAGTGTGCTCAGGTTGCTTAGGGAATTGTGAACGTAGTTGGGCTGTTCATGACACCTATTGACACGTCATACCTAAGGTGCATGGGTCAAGTAGGTAAGATTTTTGTGTGCCAAATTCCACTCTAAAAATATTTGGTTTTCCAATCTTCAGATATGGGATTGTCAATCTAATATATGTTTGGATGTGTGGATGGTGTAATGGATAATGGCTCAGAATTGTTAATCCGAGATCCGACTTCCAATTCCAGTCAGGTTCGTTACATTCACTTATGTGCAAATACCCTTGTGAAAGGTATGAATTCACCTCTTATCCCCCATCTATGGGTTAATTAGTAAGACTTGTATCACTAAACCATGTTATCGCAAAAAACAAAATGAAATAGCAGACAAAATATTTTAGATTTTGGCATTAAATAAGGTTGGTATGCCGCTAAACAAAAATAACCAACCAACATAATTACAATTCTAACCAATACATACAGGTCTTCCATTGCAGAACACCTAATAAATAGCCATAATTGTGCTGCTAGTTTTAGTGCTGACTCATTTACCATTCTTAGCAGGTCCCACTCGAATTACCACTTAAAAATGTTGGAGGCCATATATATTCTATCATTGAAGCCCTCTCTGTGTAAACAGAAGGACTTTGTATTAGGCCTCCAACTAATTTCCATCTAAACAATATTCTTTTTTTTCCTTTATTTTCTTTTCTCCGATACATGTCTATTTTTTAGTGATAATTTAGTTTATTAACCTTGATTTAGCTCTGTTGAGCGAATTTTGAAACTGGTTAGCTAGCCTGTTTTTCAGCTTTACTTTTTATTTATTATCATCATGTGGTAATAAAAATAATCTTTGTCTATTTATGGCAGTTATAAAATTAGAGTAACACACGTCTAATTGATTGGTTGTCCTTTTTTTAGGGAAGTTTTTAGCTTAATTGAAGTCAGAATGGCATCAAGGCCTAGTGTCAAATTGCATTGAAACACTGCTTCTTGTACAATTACTGGTGTTAAACAAGATGTGAATACCAGGTGCTGTAAGCTTCAATGTATGGGTAGTGAAATGGGTAACTGCTTGGAATTTGAAACTGGAGAGCCAAGTTCTAATTCTAGTTGGGTTCTTTAAATTCACTTACAAATACTTTTGAGAAATATATGAATTCACTGCTCCCTCCAGCTCTGGATTAATTAGTAGAACTTGTAGCGGGAAATCATTATCTTCAAAAAATTTTTACAATCTAAAATTATTTTTCAGCTTCAAATAACCTGCAAAGAGGTTGATGAAGCATAAAAAAGAAATCGGTCAATCATAGTGGCATCTACCTAAACAAGAAGAGATGACAAAAACAAGTTTGAAACTAATAGCAGAAAATCTGAGAATTTTATTGCAAAACAGACAAATATACATAAATTGTTTTCCACTCCGTACAATTTCATGTGTCTAATAATACCCCTCCTGAATATAGTTCTCTTTTCTTTTTTCTTTTCTTTTTTTTTTTTTTTTTTTTTTTTTTAACCCCTAATGCATATTCTTCACTCTCATGGACACTTCAATCACTAAAGTTAAACAGTGACAAGCTTGGGAAACTTGGCACTGTTTGGTAACACTGGGTACCGTTTGGTAACACTGGGTACCGTAAGCAACCTCCTACAAACCAAAATATATTTCCGCTTTAAATAACCCATAAAGTCAATAAGTCAACCCAACACTGATTAGTTATGTCTTAGATATTGTGTAAAGTGTTTCCGTTAATGTCCCAGACATTGCTAGCTTGCAGAACGTTGCCATTGCTTTGTCTGGCAAAGAAAAAATCAAACCCAAATCATTGCCCATTATCCATAATGCTAAATGGCCATCTTTGCTAATGTAAATATAAACTTGCAATTCTTTCCATATGAAGTGGTAATAATATTCTGCAGGCAAGTTCTCTTGTAATTCAGGGCATATGGATGCTGGAGAAGGCTTTCATTCAATTGCTATTTTGTTCCGAAGACCTGCCTAATGTCCAGAAAATATCCAGCTATTTTGAATGTCATTAAACCCTGCTTCATGGCCTTGAGATGACTTGGCAGCCAACAGGAGGTGACCTCTAAATTTGTACAGACACCCTCCTAAGTTACTCAGCAGTTGGATTCTATTTGGTGAGTTGATATATGTTATGTGCTCATCATATTCGTGTTGATTGAACAAATGAATTTTTCATGTCTTTTTTTTTTTTTTTTTTTTTTTGTCCCCAAAAGTGCATCACCCAGGTCTGTATGACCTTCTTCCATACAGTTCAGATTTGGCTTTCTAGCTTTTCACAAAGCTAAAATCGTCATTGAAATATCATGGTTGTGATTAAGGAGAGTGTGATTAGCCAGCTGATGATCTAGAAAGATTATTTTGGCATAGAATTTTTGAAAAGTTTAAGCAGTGCTGAGATAAGTGTGTGAGGTCCTAAAAAGTTCACTTTTAAGTGGAGTAAGGCATGATTGCTCAAGGTAGGCTTTTTTTTGGAGGGGGGAATATCTGGATAGGTTTGTTCGACTGTAAATTGTTCTGAAGATATGCTAAATATGGTCATAATGGACTGTGCATATCCATTTTCAGATATTTAACATGTCGTAACCTGCAGCACGTACTTGAAGCATCTTCAATTATTTGCATACACATGACATTATTTCCAGGTTTGGCACTGGAAAGATTTTAACTTCAAATTGTTGATCCCTCAGATTTTACAAGTATATAGTAAATGTATTGTAAAATGACCTGTGACTCTTGTCTAAAAAATGCTCGTTTTTGATTCTATACTTCTAGCATCTGCTTTCGATCGAGTTTCTTAGCTTGTTAGATATTCTTTTGTTATGAATTTGGTCTCGTTGATTTCATAGTGGAAAGTAAGTCTCTTTACATCCTGGCTGAAAATCTGTTTATGTAATTGCACTATTTACAATGCCCATACGAGTACATTTCAGCTAAGGTCATGCTTTAGTCTGTCTTGTTTCTTGCACTTCATGTCCGTTACTCCATCACTTTCAGAACATTTGTATTTGTTAGCCTACTTGTCTCCCTTGTGTCATTTGTATGTGTTTTCCTGCTTGTTTCTTTTCTGCCATTTGTCTTGTTGCTCTTCCTGTCTGTCTCATCGCCTGTCGCCCTCGTGCTCTTCCTGTCTGTCTCATCGCCTGTCGCCCTCGTGCTCTTCCTGTCTGTCTCATCGCCTGTTCCCCCTCTTCCTGTCTCTCATCCTGTCTGTCTCGTCTTCCTGTTCGTTCCCCTCGCCCTCGTGCTCTTCCTGTCTGTCTCATCGCCTGTCGCCTCGTTCCCCTGTTCGTCTCATCGCTGTCTGTCTCATCCTGTTCGTCTCCCCTCGTCGCCCCTTGTCCCTGTCTGTCTCATCGCCCGTCGCCTCGTGCTCTTCCTGTCTGTCTCACGCCTGTCGCCTAAATTCCCTTCCTGTCTGTCTCTTCCTGTCGCCCTCCTTGCTCTTCCCTGTTCCCTCATCGTACGCCTTCCTATGTCTGTTCTCATCGCCTGTCGCCCCGTGTTTTCCTGTTCTCTTCCTGTCTGTCTCCTTCGCCCTATTTCCCCTGCTCTTCCTGTCTGTCTCCGCCTGTTCCCCCCTACGTACTCTTCCTGTCTGTCTCATACGCCCTGTTCCCCCCTCGTGCTCTTCTGTCTGTCTCGCCATATCCCCCCTCGTGCTCTTCCATCTGTCTCATTGCCTATTTCCCCCCTACTCTCTTCCTGTCTGTCTCTCCTTCTATTCCCCCCTCATTACTCTTCCTGTCTGTCTCCTTCCTTCCTGTTCCCCCTCATTGCTCTTCCTGTCTGTCTCATCGCCTGTTCCCCCCCTACATACTCTTCCCTAGCTGTCTCATCGCCTGTTCCCCCTCGTGCTCTTCCTGTCTGTCTCATCGCCTGTTCCCCCTCGTGCTCTTCCTGTCTGTCTCATCGCCTGTTCCCCCTCGTGCTCTTCCTGGCTGTCTCGCCATACCTTTTCCCCTCGTGCTCTTCCTGGCTGTCACATCGCCTGTTCCCCCTCGTGCCGTTCCTGTCTGTCACATCGCATGTCTCCCTCGTGCCGTTCCTGTCTGTCGCCCTACCTATCTACCTTGTGCTGCGCCTGGCTGTTCCTCTTGTCTCCCTTCTTCAGGTCCTGTCATCCCAAATGTTTCTATCTTTCGTCCAACCTGTCTCCCTCGTGTTGTTCATGTCTTTCATTTCGCCTGTCTCCCTCGTGCTGTTGCAGTGCCTGTCGCATTGCCTGTCGCATTGCCTGTCTCCCTCGCGCTGTTCCCGCCTGTCTCATCGCCTGTCTCCCTCGCGCTGTTCCCGTCTGTCTCATCGCCTGTCTCCCTCGCGCTGTTCCCGCCTGTCTCCCTTGCGCTGTTCCCGTCTGTCTCATCGCCTGTCTCCCATGTGCTGTCCCTGCCTGTCGCCTCCTCTGTTTATATCCATCTTTCAAACCTGCTCAGTGTTCTTGATTTATCTCTGAACGTAAACTGACTAATCAGGTTTTCCAAATATTGGTTCCTTTTGTTTTTGTGGGTGTTTATGTCGGATAAATTATCTTTTTGCATCCTTCAAGTACCTGATTCTCTACTTGTAAAATCTGTAATACCCAGTCAGTATAAAACACCTACACAACTATAATGATACTAAGAAACTAGAGTGATAGGTATTTGTTCTTGATGCATTTGGCCAGTATTCCTATCTGTGTAAAAGCCAGATTCTATATGCTGACTTTCTTGGCATGCATGCACCTCTGCCCACAGACCTGATGATACACAAGCTTTTTACATCTTAGCAGTTGGTATATTTTCAATATCTGTAGTGTTCATATGATGCAGTTATGTATCCGTTAAGCTATCTGTGCTTGTGCAGTGGTTAAAACTATAACTTCCTGTGCTTGTTTGTAGACGCTTGAACCTTTGTTGCATACAGCTATTATCTTCAAGCAAACAGTTACTGCTTGTTGGGAGATTGGAGCCATGTAATCTTCCGACTTTATTGAACGTCCTCTAGTTTGTTGCAATTGTAAAACTACTGATAAATGAAATCAGTATATTGATCGTTGTAACTCCTCAATTGATTCTCATCACGGGAAAGAGTTGATGGGCTTTTCAGTGCCAAACTTCCTGGGTCGGTTCACAAATGTGTTCAGGCCAGTGATTGGTTACTCTGAATGTTCTTCATATTCACCAACCTTGAAACATGCAAGCCACTTGAAAAATTATGTTCAGCCTCAAGATGAAGCATTTCAAGTATCGTGGTAACGTCACAACATTTGATGTTCCTTAAATTGGTTAGTCATTGTAAAGATTGCGACACTACAATAACCTTACATGATAATTGAACATGAGATACCATGAAATAAAGGAGATTGCCTTGCATGAAACGTATTTGCAGACTGACTCAGTAGGCTAAGTACCAATGGGTATTAACTGTCTGCAAATTTCAGTTGAATGTTATTACCACCAGATGAACGTTCTGATAAAAAGTCTTGTTAGAACGTTTGGAAATGTTTTACCAGAAAGCACATAAAAACAAATGTAAATTAAATTTCTTGAAATATACAGTTCAGAAAGTAATGTTTTACTTGAAAGGATGTAAAACAGATTTAAATATTATTAAAAATGTAATCACTTTAATTCTCAGCAAATGCAGTTCAACAGAAGAACTATTTGAATAAATGTTTAAAGACATCTGGGTTTTCCACTGAAAATTGTTTGAAACGCCATTTCCAACTTTTTTTTGTTTCTGAATGTTTTGTCAGTTATAGAATATTCGCATGATCAAAACAAAAATCTGCTTAGTATGGAGCATGTGGAGGAACATCCCATCCCAACAATCTGGATTTATTTTTTTGTTGTTTTTTTTTTTTTTTTTTTCAACCTTGTCAACCATTTGCAGGTTATTTAAAGCCAGTAAATATGTTTTTTAGATTGAAATTTTTTACTTTGATAATAATGGGTTAGAGATACATGTTTTACTAATTAACCCATAGCAGGGGGGAGAATATGTGGATTCATACCTTTTCCAAGGCTATTGCATGTAGGTGAATAAAACAAACCCAATGGGAATTGGAACTCCGTTCTCCGATTAACAATTCTGAGCCATTATCCATTACACCACCAGCACATCCAAGCTTACAGCATCTGGTATTCCCAAGCAGTCACCTATTTAGGTAATGACCGAACTGGATGTTGCTTAACTTCGGTAATCGTATCGGAACTCGGCTCTCTGATTAACAATTCTGAGCCTTTATCCATTACACCACCAGCACGTCCAAGCTTACATCACCTGGTATTCCCAAGTGGTTTCCCATTTTGGTACTGATCAGGCTGGTTGTTGCTTAACTTTGGGGATCATATACAGAAAACAAGAAAATTCAATGTTTTCAAAACCTTCAGTATCTTCAGAATAGCATAAAATCTGTTTGACCTAAGGTATCATGCTGAAATTTTCAGGATTAACTCCTCATGAATGTTAACAAATGGTGAAAATTTGGATGAAGTCTGAGGACCTTCAGGATGGGCCCTTGTTGAATCTGGCTTTAATGATGCATAATAAAATGGTACAGGTTGTTAATATTAAATATTTGGATATCAGACAAATGTAGAATTTTGTATCAGAAACATAAGAAACTTAAGTATCTGTCTATATTTCTGAGACAAGTACATTATTCGGACTATTGTCCTCATCTGTGTCTCCATATTTATTACAACGTTTTGGCCATTGTATGCTCCAGCCTTTTTCAGCATCTGTCTATATTTCTGAGATGAGGTATTATGTACACTATTTACATTACTCGGACTATTGTCCTCATCTTTGTCACCATATTTATTACAACATTTCAGCCGTTGTACGCTCCGGCCTTCTTCAGGTGGTTGGAATATCAAACTGAACCCTTTCTTTCGCTCACTGGGGTAGACTTTTCTAGTTCTACATGCTATGTCTAATGAATACCAGTTATCAGTTATCTTCTGTTAATTCCCCTCTCCAAGTTCTCCACCTCAAGGACACATGGCACAGTGGATAAAGGTGTTGGTTAGATCCAGTGACAGGATCCAAAGAGTGGGAGTTCAATATCCGGTTAAGGTGGTGGAGAACTTGAATTAACAGAAGATAACTGATATCCATTAGACATGGCACATGGAACGAGAACAGTGTCCCCCAGTGAGCGAAATAAAGGTTTCAGTTCGATAAGAATCTTAGATATTTAACTTTTTTTTTCTGGATTGTCATAATCATTATCATCATAGCCACGCTTTTTGTGTTGAGACAGGACTGGCATTAATCCTGCACAAGATAAGGTTGGGCCCTGTCTGACACAGGATCTCAGTTTACCTCCCCACATAAAGAATATGAAAACATACTGAGACATCATAAGGATTTGAGGCAAGGTTTTACAAGGTTGGATGCTGTTCCTGATGCCCAACTCAGGTACACCAAGCATTTTCATCCCAACACCATCTCTAGTAAGGTTGCCATTCAAGGCTTGAGACCCCATTCTAGCCTTTTGTGGATTTGTGTAAAGAAGTATCCAGAAAAATAGCCTGTCCTACTATTTATCCATAGCTGGGTGGGAGAAAAGAACTTGTACCTTTCCCAATAGTATTTGTGCATAAATGAATGTCTTCTGTATTATAATGGTCAATCTTGTGAGGAAACATTTTTAATGGTATTAAATTTCAATTAATGTTCATTGTATGTTATGTACAATGCTTTTTTTTTTTTACAGTTAGGTTTTTGATTATTTGTCTCTTTGGTCTGGTGTGTGTTTAACAGGAATATTAATGGTGCAATTTAAAATATTTTGGACACTTGTTAAGCAAGTTCTTTTTCTCTTAAATAAAAATAGACAATTACTCTTCTTATGCCTCTTGATTCCTTAGGGAACATAGGGTCACAACAGCACCTCTCCAACAGATGTGGTTCTTGAAGATCCTCATCAGCTCGGCCCATGTCATGCTGGCTGCCTTCACCTCTGTGTTAACACTTCTACGCCAAGGAGTAACCAAAGATTTTAGCTTTCCTGTTATCACATAACTCAAGTCATCTAAAGCTCATTTCTTTCATTATGCCTCTTAATACCTTGGGGAATATAGGGCTGCAGCAACACCTCTCCAATGGAAGCGGTTCCAGACGATCCTCTTCAGCTTGGCCCATGTTGTGCTGGCTGCTTTCACCACTGCGCCTAGTCTATTTTGGTGGCCCACTTTTCTCTTCCATTGTGGATGACGATTACTTACTTCACTCATAAATCATATCTTAATTTATGGCATATATAAGATTAAAAAAAAATATCTACCACGTCTGATGTAAAAAAAAAAAAAAAAAATTAGCATCAGGTAATTTTCACTAAAGCCGAGTCAAGCTTATCAAGTTCTTAACTTAGTCTTACTTATCTAATAAGAGAAATGCCAGGTGTTTTCTGTAAGTTGAGGAAGTGGTAACATTAACCCTTTGACCCCTGACTACCGCTTTACTGGTGGTAGAAAAAAAATTACATTATGCCCAGCCACCAGTTGAACAAACAGTAGTAGCGAAAAATGACTTAATGCCCAGCCACCAGTTGAATGGTGGGTAGACACTTGTAACTATTTTTATATCTACCATGAAACATTACATACCAATTATTTGCGAATTTTGACTGAATTTAGGCAGAAAGGTTAAAATTATTCAGAAACGCAGGCCTCAAATGCTTAAATATGAATCCTATATCTGCTTTATTGTTGACGTCATTTCAAAGCCACTTACAACATATGTCAAGCTGTTTACGGTTTTTGTAAAGATCAAGCCAATGTCTTTATTAATAATTGAGCATATTTAATACATCAGCGCCTAAGCTCAAAAGATCTGGTCATGAGATCACTTGAGACATTGAACTGAATGGTCGGTAAACAGTATTGACGGTGATGTACACATTTCGTTTCTGACGGCCATATCAGTAGTAATGAAAAATGACCTAATGCCTAGCCACCTGCCCATTAAAAACTTTTTTTAAATAGATTTGTAAATAATATTTTCCACTGATAGATCTTCCGTACGTCATGATGACTGCCAATTTCGGGCTTCAAATGATATTCCGACCATGTTTAATTTCAAGCAATCTTCAAAGTCATCTTAAATATGAATCGTATATCTGCTGTGTTCTTGACGTCATTTCAAAGCCGCTTACAACATATGTCAAGCCGTTTACGGTTTTTGTGAAGATCGAGCCGGTATTGAGTATATTTAATACATCAGCGCCTAAGCTCAAAGATCTGGTCTGGAGATCACTTGAGACATAGAAAAATGACGTAATGCCCAGCCACCAGTTGAACGGTGGGTAAACACTTGTAACTATTTTTATATCTACTGTGAAACATTACATACCAATTATTTGCAAATTTTGACTGAGGAGCTCAGACAGAAGGATTAAAATTCAAGAATGCAGGACTTAAAGGGTTAAGTTATTAGTGGCTGATCACAATTATAAGGTCTTCTATT